CACACACACACACACACTACTGACTGTGTTGAACAATCTCTCCTTCATAGAAATGCATGCCCACATCATCTCCTGCTCACACAGACACACAGCAGCAAACACACTTTGCAGAGTTGAACAATCCCAAGGCTTCAGTCTGACAAAGCTCCGTTCATCCTCAGTAAAAGGCCTGCTTGTCTGACAGCAATGCACTGTGGGACATTCTGATGAACACAAACTGACACTAAAATATACAGTTCATTTACATGAGATGGATCACACACACACACACACACACACACACACACACACACACACACACACACACACACACACACAATTTGTTGGTTTTAAACTGCCATGGGTGCTATTACGCACCACAGTTTTGCATCCGTCACTATTGTTTACATGTTTATGAGAATACAAATTGAATAAATTAAATAGCATGTATATTTTGAACAAATGCATTTTTACTTTTTTCCCGGTGGTCATAAAGGGATGGACAGGGCCAGCAACACTCAGGTGGGCTGTGGTGTTGTAATAATGATCGATTAGTATTAAAGGCCCAAAGTGTGGCAAGAAAATGTCCCCCACACCATTACACCACCACCACCAGCATGAATCGTTAATACAAGACAGGATGGATCCATGCTTTCATGTTGTTGACGCCAAATTCTGACCCTACCATCCGAATGTCGCAGCTGAAATCGAGACTCATCTGACCGGGCAACATTTTTCCATCTTCTATTGTCCAGTATTGGTGAGCCTGTGAGAGTTGTAGCCTCAGTTTCCTGTTCTTAGTTGACAGGAGCGCCACCCGGTGTGGTCTTCTGCTGCTGCAGCTCATCTGCCTCAAGGTTCCACGAGTTGTCGCGTTCAGAGATGCTCTTCTGCATACCTTGGTGGTTATCTGAGCTACTGTTGCCTTTCTATCAGCTCAAACCAGTCTGCCCATTGTCCTCGGACCTCTGACATCAGCAACGCTTTTTCGCCCACAGAACTGCCGCTCTCTGGATGTTTTCCCTTTTTCGGACCAAGCCAAGCCAACTTTATTTATAAAGCACTTTAAAAACAGCCCTCACTGACCAAAGTGCTGAACATAAAAACATAAAAGCATAAAACAGAATAAAATAGAATAGAAGAAGAAGATATTGCCTCTCAAGATAAAAATCACGAGGCGCTTCACGAAAACAAAAATTGTAAAAATATGAAAAAGCATTTAGAAAATGTTTAAAAATATATGAAAATGAGCAAAAAGTAGGCAATTGTGATCAAAAAAAGTTAAGAAAGAGAGAGAGTGAACAGGAAAGAGGGAAATCAGTGGATCCTGAGGAAGGTGGAATAGGTGGGGAGAGCAGAATAAAGAGAGAGAGGTGAAGAAGGTCATACAAAAGCCAGCTTGAACAAGTGAGTCTTCAGCTGCTTTTTAAAGGAGACCACTGAGTCCACTGATCTCAGGCTCAGGGGGAGAGAGGTCCAGAGTCTGGGGGCCACAGCAGCAGATGATCTGTCACCTTTGACCTTTAGCACAGAATGCAGTATAAAAGTTAAAAGCACACTAAAATAAAACACTAAAATCAAATACAAATCCAAAACTTCACATGGTGTCGAAAGCCAAGCTAAAAAGGTGGGTCTTTAAAGATGATTTAAAAGTTTCCAGTGAGGAGGCCTTTCAAATATGTGCCGGCAAAGAGTTCCACTGTCTGGGTGCAGCAACAGCGAGACCCTATCCTCTGAGCTTACGCTGTGTCCTTGGAACGTCCAGCAGCAACTGGTCAGATGACCTGAGCGACTGAGAGGAGGAGTGAATGTGCAGCTCAGAGAGGTAGGACCATCCTCAGTAAACCCTAGAGATGGTTATGCGTGACATTTCCAGAAGATCAGCAAATTTGGACTCGTAATGTGACCTGAGGGGACAGGGCCTTTTCTGCTGTGGATCCCAGACTATGGAACAATCTTACTCTGTCTACAAGGATGGCTAAGTCTTTGAATTAATTTAAGTCTCTTTTAAAAACTCACCTTTTTAACTTGGCTTTTAATCTGGGTTGAGCGGAAACACATCATGTTGGTTTGTTATTGTGATTAGTGTTTTAATTTCTTTTATGTAGTCATTTCTAACCAGTCCTGTCTTATTTGTTTTATCATAGTTACTGTGTTTTATTTGTCATGTTTTTAAGTGTACAGCACTTTGGTCACTTCCGAGTGGAAAACGCTCAACAAATAAAGGTTGGTTGATTGACACACCAGCCTATTTGGCACCAACAACCATGCCACGTTCAAAGTCCCTTAAATCGCCTTTCTTCCCTACTCTGAAGCTCGGGTTGAACTGCTGCAGATGGTCTTAATCATGTCAACATGCCTAAATGCAGTGAATCGCTACCTTGGAATGGCTGATTACTAATTTGTGTTAACGAGCAGTTGGACAGGTGTACACAATAAAGTGGCCGGTGGGTGTATATGGGAAGAACAGTTGGAGCTAACCATCATTGTGTTGAAATGGTCTGGTTCACAACTGATGCAAATATGATGCAAATTAATTAATAATTTAACTGTTCGCCAAACGTCATCATTACAGGTTAACCCTTTGATGCTTAAGGGTCACTACAGGTACTCAAAATTGTTATTTATTTATTTTTGCTATTAAGCACAGCTGTTGAAGACTTTATTGCATGTGAGCCCCTCCATTTGAGCTTCAGCAAGTCAAGCCAACATAGTTCATGTTCAGAATGCACGCTGTCCACTGAGATGCACATGTAATAAATTATTTGTAAATTAACAAAATGTTACAAAAATATTTGTTGGAATTTTTTTCATTCACACCTAAAGATGAATGAAAAAAATTGTTTAAAAAATCATGGTTGAAGATTTCATAATTCATGCATCACAGGGTTAAACTACAAATTCAGAATTTTCTACCAAACCCCTGAATGTAAAACATGCAAATGTCTGCATGTCATACAAAAGCTAAAACATAACATCACTGCTGCTGCTTTGGTCTCCAGGCCAGCAGGACCCACCCCCCAAGGGGGAAACTCCGCCTGCTGACAGTGAAGTCAAAGCAGAAGTGACAAAATTGCAGTTCTCCCTGATCCACTAGGGGCAATATCCAGAAAGCAGCAGGTGTCCATTGACTCCTACGTTAAAAATTCTAACTACACAGCAGAAATAAACAAGTTTATAGCCTGCCTGGCTGGAAAAACATTTTAGGTTAAAAGTGACAGTGTGTAATTTTCTCCATTAATTTCTGGAAATATCCATCGAATTTTTTTAAAAAGGAATAAAAAGATGTCCAGCCATTGGAAAATATTCGAGGCTCCACGCTTTATATATTTTAGAATTGATTTTTATGGTTATATGGCGCAAAGCCCCCAATATTTTTCAGAAACTAGTGTCTAGGTGCAGCAGGCACACTCTGGTGTCTAAAGCTAGTTTTCCAGGAGCACTACTCAGCCTGAAACAGGTTTGAGGCTGCTCACCTGAGTGTAGGGCTGGGTAATAAATCTAAAATTTATCGTTATCAAAATTTCTGACTTTTATCGAGATAATTGTTCCCATGTCAACAAATTGATAATAAAAATTAAAATGAAAAGATGTGTGTAAGTTGGCAATGTTCATGTCCCTTTAAGAAGCTGTACCACATTGAGTCACATAAAGATGTGACTCAACGTATTACACGTGACAGCCCCATCTAGTGGACAACTGTTGTTTCTGCACATACTTGTAGTTATCGTCCATTTATCGTTATCGAGGAAAAATCCTCACTATATCACAATTTTGATTTTAGGCCATATCGCCCAGCCCTGCCTGAGTGTAGTTTTATTTCCGATACTAGCTCCATGACAGAAAGTGGGTGTGGCCCTTCTAGGTGCAGGGGAAAAAAGGGGGACCCACGGCACTTATGGGCTCGACACATGGGAGGCGACATCGCCTCTCCTCCATTCATTTTCAATGAGACATGCGCGACAAAGCGATAATCGCGGGTCTCCCTCCTACCAAGCGAAACGCGAAAAACGTGCGTGTGAAATTTTTCACTCGTGCACGTGTCGTGCACGGACGACCCAGCGACGCGATCCCAGAAAGTTGAAACATTTTCAACTTTTCATCGCTGTCGTTCGGACGAGGACCAATCAACGGAGGTTTCATTCACTGACCAATGAGCGGACAGGATGCTCCGCACATCTCCGAGCAAACATGGAGGAGAAGTTGATTATTATTATGTTTTATAGTAAAATCAGAAGTAAGATTTCACATAACTCTAGCAGCACCTTGTGAAACATCATATCTACCGCTTTATTAACTCTGAACCGCTTACATAACCTTAATTCCCTCCAACCTGACACAGCCAATCAAAACAACGGAAGTTTCGATTTCGCCATGGAACAGAACGCGTGGACGGCTTTGCCGCTGGCCGCCGCCGTGGATCGCCTCCCGTGTGTCAGGTAATAAAAGCGACAGCGACAAATTTTGCTGATCGCGGTTGTTTGTCGCCTCCCGTGTGTCGAGCCCATTATAGGGGATGGGGGCACGAGGTGACCAGTTAACAGTATAAGGTAACCTGTATGCTCCCCAGAAACTGATGCCGTAGCAACGTAGAAAAAACCGGCTATTTCTGGCCTAATAATTCCCCTGTTTGTTTCTTTTTGAAGCTAACGAAGGCTATTCCACACTTAGCATGCATATGCAACTCTGAGTGACCTAGAGGTGGAGTGTCCATCTGGCATACCGAGCCATTTATCAAATGTGGGTTGCTTCCCCCCCTGTGAGCACCACCCACCTTTGATTCTGTTTTGGCTATTTTTCTCAGAAAAGTTAAACTTTAACATTATTGCTGTCATTGTCTTCATTATATGTTCTGGCTTAATTACCTAAATTACTCAGTTCTAATGTGTTCAACTTATTTTCAAACTCATTCCCATTGAAGTTTTGAAACAACAGTTTTATCCTGAATCTGAGAAATGTGGTATGAGTGGGTACAAGGTGCACCACTACTAGGTAGGTAATCAACCTATAGGAACAATTCATAAAATTATGTTTTGTTTACTTTTCAATTATAGTTACACATTTTCAAGCACACAGTTACAATTTCACAACCAATCTATGATGAACCATTAGTCCAACATGAATAGTGACGCCAATACTTACAGGAAGCATCTGATAAAAATGTTGAGAAGTGGCACAAGTTCACAAAACAAGCACAAGAATTTAGGCATAAGTTTAATTTAAATCATTTTCTGTAACGTCTGGAAGGAGATTTCACCTGAATTTCATGCTAGTTCTGAGACTTGAATAATCATGAATTGTTAAAAAAAGCGATAACATAATGCAGATATAGGGACCAGATTGCCTCATTAGACCCATGACTGACCTGAAATCATTACAGGAAATACTGACAAGTATACGACTTTACCAATGCTAGTTTCACAGGACAAGATTCAAATAACAACAGAAAGTGAAGGGACAAGGAGGCAGACTTGTGCATATAGAAAAGGGTTATTATGAAAATGTGTTTTGAGTCAGTGGGTCAAAAATCAATCACAATTTGGAGTACAGAACAAATTCTTGACCTTTTGAACATGAAATGCTGACAGGAGGCTCCTCGGTTGACTCAGGACACGCTGGAGGGGTCACATGTCTAGGCTTACCAAGGAATGCCTTAAAGGGCGCCCCAGACAAGCTGTTAGAGGTTGCTAGAGAGAGGAAGGTTTGGCCTGCTGCCCTTGTGACCAGGGCATTTTTTTGCATAGTTTCAAGCTATAAGTCAGGTAGCTTTAAATCTGCCAGCAGAATATCTTTATAATGTACAATAAAAAGCCCTGATAAGTCTTTTTCTGCCTAAACATTCTACCACATCGTTTGTGCTCCTCAAATAACTTGTAGGTATGTTGATTTGAAATCAGTTCCAAGTGAATTTTTAGCGTTACATTTGTAAATACCAGAGTTTGTGAGGACAGGATTCTGAATGACCAGACTACCCTCGTCTGTCATGCGAATCCCTCCCCGCGCTGTGTACCGATTATGTGGTAGCAAAGTGGTGCGTCCCGGTAACGTCCACGAAATGTCTGGCCTTGGAATACCAGTCGCAACACACTGTAGCATCACTGGTGTTCCCTGCAGGACTCTTGTGATGGATGCCATTGTGGTGGTGATCCGCGGTGGGAAAACCATTACTGTGACTGGGTAGGTTAGAGCTGTTGATCCAAAAGAGTTGGCGGCTTTACAGACATATGTTCCTTTGTCAAAATTGGCAACCTGTCTGACGTGAAGGCTCCCGTTGGTGAGGAAAGAGATTCGTCCAATGGTTTGTGGTTTGTCCAAAACAACACCGTTGGGTAGGGTCCATGTGATGGACGGCTGAGGCCAGCCATCCACCGGGCATGGCAGGTTAAGGTTGAGGCCATAAGTGATCTTCATCCCACCTAAACAAGGAAACAAATCAGAATCCTTTTCTATCAAATAAAAACAAAGCTGATATAAATGAAGGAATAGTTTGACTATTTTGGAGTACATTCCAGCTCCAACCTCCCAGATATTACTATATTCATGCAAATGTTATGTTACAAACCTTTATATTGATGTTATTTTCTGTTACATGGTTAGCCACAGCTGGAAATTCAGAGCTTCATGGGGTGCAGGGGTGAAAGGAATTTCTTACACTGCCAAAATAACCTTGTATCGGAAGCATTCCTTGTGATGTTATTTACCAAACCTTTTATACTATTGCATTACATAGTTATTAAGAAAAATATTAGGAAATTCCTTCAAGAGTTGACCCCATACCACAATCAGCCCATGCTAATGTTGTTTAATCAATATCCACAGAATTTGCGATGATGATCGACAACTAAGTAAAAATGTTCATCAAGGAACCCTGCATAGGCTAAAGGAAAATGATGAGATCAGAACTGTTCTAGGCTGACAGCAGTCCACTTTGGCCTTGGCTGTGCTCAGACTTTCCATTTCTCCACTCCTTCTACATACATAGTTCATTGTGTTTCTATTTCTTACTGGTTCCTTTCGTTGATGCAACCCACACACCAAAGATTTTTCTTGGCCCTAGCAATTTGAGCCTCCCTCAAGACCACCATCATCCCTAACACTCTCACACTAAAAGAGTTTTTGCTTTGCATAGTTTGAAAAACAAAGACATACCTGTTGGTCCTCTAATAACTGGTTTTCTTCCAGCCTCCAGGGCATAACGTTTCTCTGCTTGTCCGGCCACATTTTTTGCCAGGCATCGGTAAATTCCCTTATCAGTTGCAGCTGGGTGAGAGATCCGTAGAGTTCCATTACCAAAATGGTGGAAGAAGCGTTGAAGTCTCAGGCCTGGCGTTAGCATAGTTCCATTAGGTAGCACCCATAGAAACTCTGGGTTTGGTTTACCACGAGCAGAGCACTCAAGGACCAGTTGGCCAACATCCTGTTTGATTGGTAAGATTTCAATATTGGGAATGTAAAAACTAGGTTTCTCTGCTAACGGTGCCACTTCCAGTTCAACTGAAAGGGAAGCTTCACCCAGGTGATTTTTAGCAAAACACTTGTATATGCCTTCATCAGTCTTTCTGACCCCTCTTAGCTCCAAGCTTCCATTTTGGTGGACCTGAAAGCGACCACCAAGGTAGGGTGTTGCAAGTGAGTGGCCATAAGGAGTAATCCACCACACCTTGGGTTCAGGTTTTCCCTTCACTTTGCAATCCAGATGTGCTGTTTGGTAAGAAACACCCAGGAGTTTTGTAGTACTCTTTCCTTTCACACCATCGATAAAGGGTTCCTGGGGTTCAGCTTTAACTATCGTGTTTTTAACATCGTCACCAGCAGCGTTTCGTGCCACACATGCATATTTCCCTTCATCAGCGAGAGTCAGTCTATTTATGACTAACGTTCCATCCTCCAGGATTTGATATTTGTCTGACGATACTTGTATTACATCCTTACGTGGTGATATCCATACGATTCTTGGTTTCGGTTCACCGATTGCCTGACAACTCAGTTTAGCTGATTCCTCTAATTTTACTGTCATCGTTGATTGGGATTTTTCGATTTGTGGAGCATTTGGTTCTACTTTGACTCGCACTTTTTTTTCATCCTTGCCCAGTTTGTTTGTTGCATGACAGGTGTAGTCCCCTTCGTCTTTTTTGCCCATCTGCTGAAGGAGTAGAGTTCCATTCCCAAACATAACGTAGCGGCGACTGCGAAGGCCGCTGTCATCTGACTGAAGGGCGTTGTTCACCAACGTCCCATCTGGAAGACTCCAGGAGACCTCTGGGTTGGGCAGACCAGATGCCACACAGTCCACCTTGGCGAGTGGAACCAAAAACAAAATTTTTCATTTAATGAAGATGATACAGGTGCAGGTCATAAAAATAGAATATCATGAAAAAGATTTTATTTTAGTAATTCAATTCAAAAAGTGAAACTTGCATTTTAGGTTCATGCATTACACAAAGACTGATATATTTCAAATGTTTGTTTCTTTAATGTTGATGATTATAACTGAGAACTAATGACAATCCTAAATTAAGCATTTCAGAAAATTAGGACATCAGTTAAGACCAATGCAATAAAGGAGTTTTAGAAATGTTGGCCAACTGAAAAGTGTGAGAATGTGCAGCACTCAATATTTAGTTGGGGCTCCTTCGGCCCAGATAACCGCAGCAATGTGGCGTGGCATGGAGTCCATTGGTCTGTGGCACTGCTCAGGTGTTAGGAGAGCCCTTGTTGCTCTGATGGTGGCCTCCAGCTCTTCTGAATTGTTGGGTCTGGCTTGTTGCATCTTCCTCTTCACAATAACCCCATAGATTTTTCTATGGGTTAAAGGTAAGACAAGTTTGCTGGCCAATTAAGAACAGGGATACTATGGTCCTTAAACCATGCACTGGTCGCTATTAGGGCCTGCACGACTTTATTTTTTTTAAAGTCGACAGTCAACTAATGAAAGTCGAGTCGACTTCGACTAGTCGTTGATGACGTCATACGCCGGAAGCGGCGGGGGAGGGGGGGGGGGAGGGGGGGGGAGGGGGTTCGGTCGTTAGGTTCGCTGGAGTTTTTGACAATTACAATTGCGTCCACATTTTCTAAGTTAACACATCTCTTTTAACAACGGTAGTTTCTGCATCCTACTTCAGTCCTCTCCCCCCTCCCCCTGCTTCAGCCCTCTCCCCCCTCCCCCTGCGCAGCAGCCACAAACTCACTGATGCGCCTGCAGCCTCTCGGAGTTCCTGCTGCTCTAAACATTAAAATAATTATTTCATTTTCTGTTCCTCACTTCTGATTACCTTCAGTGGTGTCTGTTTGTTGCAACCAGCAGGTACAAAAACTAACTTGTTTTTATTTGACTATTTTTCTGTCCTGTCTGTTTATTATCTTCCTGCATCTCCTCTCAGTCCTAAAGAGAAACTGCTACCTGGGTTCATATATATTCACCTCATGAGTTACCTTTGAACTGCAGTTCTAAAAGATCTACCGACCGCTAAAACAGCGGAGTGCCGCTGCTCGCCGGCCGACTACAACGGGACCGTTTTTGCTGCGGAGTTCATGCCGGAGCGGAGCGGAGTGGAGATAATGGAATCTTGGGGGTGCGTCACCGGAGGACAACAGGTGAAGAGCCTCGCTCCGCAGCAGCGAAACGCATCAGGCACAAATAACAGACAGAAAACATGAAAGGAAATGAGCCGACACGAACGATCGCGTGTTTAATTTGTTTTTGAGGTGGTGACACCTGATTTGGCGGTGCTCAGGACGCAATGTCTGGAGCGCGTCAATGATCAGAGCTTTGCATGCACAAACTGGTTAAGATTAGGATGGGGGTGAGGGGAAGGTTAAATTGCAAGAGGGAAAAGGTCACAGTTTGGTTAAATGTTCGTTTTACCGCCGGTGTCAGTACCGCACAGCGCGTCGCCTCCGCCTCGATCCAAACACGCAGGGCTCGTCACCTGCTGTCTTTTCCGAGGACTGCATCTTGTCAGTCATTATCACGTGACAGCGACTAGTTGATGACAGGCATAAAAAGTCACTACAGAGCCGTGAAGTCGACTAGTCGACTAGTCTACTAGTTCGTACAACCCCTAGTAGCTATGGCACTGTGTGCTGGTGCCAAGTCCTGTTGGAAAATGAAAGTCGGTCAGCAGCAGGAAGCCTGAAGTGCTCTAAAACTTCCTGGAAGATCGCTGCGTCGACCTTAGACCTCAGAAAACACAAAGAACCAACACCAGTAGATGACATGGCACCCCATACCATCACTGACTGTGGACACTGTTCACTGGACCTCAAGAAATGTAGATTCTGTCCCTGTCCTCTCTTCTAGGGTTGAGCCTCGTTTCAGACGAGTATCCGGTACGGATAAAGCATTTTTGATGAGTGCGAACATAAAACAAGTAAAACCCATGAATATCTGTGTCCATGCTGAAGGGAAATCCTCATTGGGTAACTGACTGTCTTCACGCTCTGTGGTTGGCCAGTCACACTGAGTGCCCGCCCTTCTCTACACACACTGCTATCCAGTGCAAAATGTACTTTCATCAGAGAACATAGCTTTGGACAACTCGGCAGCAGTCCGGTCCTTTTTGTCTTTAGCCCAGGAGAGACACTTCTGACGATGTCTCTCGTTCAACAGTGGCTTGACACAAGGAATGCAACAGGTGAAACCCATGTCTTGCATTCGTATGGGCGGTGGTTCTGAAGTACTGACTCTAGCTGCAGTCCACTCTTTGTGAATCTCCTCCACGTATTTGAATGGGGTTTGTTTCACTAAACTCTCCAGGGTGCGGTTATCTCTTTCGCTTGAACACTTTTTTCTACAACATCTTGTCCTTCCCTTCACTTCTATTAATTTGCATGGACACAGCTCTGGGAACTGCCAGCCTCTTTAGCCTTTTGTGCCTAGCCCTTTTGTTGCATTGGTCTTAACTGATATTCCAATTTCCTGAGATACTGAATTTGGGATTTTCATTCATTGTTAGTTCTAATCATCAACATTAAAATACATAATAAATAATATATGAGTCTATGTGTCATAAATTAACTTAATATACAAATCTCACTTTTTGAATGAGCATTGTTAAAGATATTCTAACTGCCGTCTTATGTTTAGTCTGACTCAGCTAACTGCCCTAAACCACGACTCGGTTAAATACCTGGAAATTTTCACCAAAGGTGATCCTAGTCTGTGCCGTCCTTACATGTTCAATTCGGGGAGGAACCATCAACACGTCTACCTAGACACAAGCACACAGAGAGGAAACATCATTTTCAATAATTTATTTTAAGTCAATAAACCAGCATAAAAAACTACTGTTTTCATCTGTTACTCAAACACACCTTCAAAAATGGGCCATCATCTGTGTTTATGCTAGACTTGAGACCATAGTGCGCATGAAACAGCAAGCACGTACACTTGAACTTTAAAGTAAAATAAACACAAAGCTGAGGCTGTAGTCTACTGAAACAATTCATCATTAGTATTTTATTCCTAAACAATTCTTAAACCCTTTAAAAGCAATATTTTGAGCTAAATGAGTTAATGATGTAATGAAGGTAAATAAGACATATTGTGTGTTTACATTAATGTTTACAAAATAAATATGGGCCGCATGTGTTGCAGTTGGTAGCAATTTTGCCTCAGTGAGAAGGTCGTAGGTTCAAATCCGTCAGTGACCTTTCTGCATGGAGTTGGCTTGTTTACTCCATACATGTGTGGGTTTTATTCAGGTACTACGGTTTCTTCTCACAGACATAAAACAAACAACTTATTTAAATGTGGAGACTTCAACTTGTCACTAGGTGTCAGTGAGTGACTGGCTGTCTCTGCGTGTCCCTGTGATGAACCTGAGATCTGTCCAGGAAGTCCCCCATCTCTCAACCATGACCGCTGGCAAAGGGACCAGCTTCCCATGACCCCATTAAGGGAACTCTGTTTGTGTAAAACCCTCTGAATTAAGTTTCATGCGTGGTTTGCATCATGCAATCTTTAGCCAGAATCAAAGAGATAAAAGAAAATGTGATTAAACAAAAAAATATAAAACTTAAGGGCTGCACAGTGGCGCGGTAGTTAGCGCTGTTGCCTTGCAGCAAGGGGGTTCCGGGTTCACGTCCCGGTCAGGGGCCTCTCCGTATGCATGCGTGGGTTCTCTCAGGGTACTCCGGCTTCCTCCCACCATCCACAAATATGACTGTCAGGTTAATTGGTGGGCTGTGCAGTGGTTAGAGCTGTTGCCTTGCAGCAAGAAGGTCCTGGGTTCGCTTCCCGGCCTGGGATCTTTCTGAATGGAGTTTGCATGTTCTTCCTGTGCATGCGTGGGTTCTCTCCGGGTACTCCGGCTTCCTCCCACAGTCCAAAAACATGACTGTTAGGTTGATTGGTCTGTCCAAACTGTCCTTAGGTGTGAGTGTGTGTGTGCATGATTGTTTGTCCTGTGTCTCTCTGTGTTGCCCTGCGATGGACTGGCGCTCTCTCCAGGGTGTACCTTGACTGCTGGAGATAGGCACCAGCCCCCCGCCCGTGACCCTGCATGGACAAAGTGGGTTCAGAAGATCGATGGATGGATGGAGGTTAATTGGTCTTCAATTGTCCCTAGGTGTGTGTTCTTGGTTGCTTGTCCTGTGTGTCGCTGTGTTGCCATGCAATGGACTGGCAACATGTCCAGGGTGTACCCTGCCTGCATGCCCGGAGACTGCTGGAGATAGGCACCAGCCTGTGTGGCTAAGTGGGTATTGGCGATGGATGGATGGAAATAAAACTTGGTATGTTCTAAAAAGCTTTTGCTAATGTTATACAAGTGTCTTTGACATACATTTCCTACAAAGATTTGAAAGCAGAAAACTCCTCACTCCTCAGGTTATAATCTGTCTACCTGGAAGAGCTCCATGTCCTCTCCATTGGGCCGCTGGAAGATACACAGATAGTTTCCACCATCCATCTCTGTTAGCTGGAGAATCCTAAGAGTCCCATTATGGAAAACTTTAATTGGTCTCTCTGGGCTGGGGGCACAAGAAAAGTTATTTAATGACACCATACACGTATTCAAATCTCTATTACTACTGTGGCTGTTCATGTTTAACATATCGGAGTTACCTGTATCGATGCTCCATGATGGTCTTGGAGGGCAGCTGCCAAAGAGTTCCTCTTATAGATCCAGTTGACTCTGGGCAGTGGAGGTAGACCGTTGAGCCATACATGGCTGAAACAATGTGTTGACGGGATGGAGTATCACGGTGCTGGGTTGGAGGAACTGGCAGAGGAGGCCGGTGGGAGAAAGAGTCTTCTTTCACCTCCAACTGGACCATTCTTTTGGCAATTCCCACGGCGTTGGTGGCATGACACTCATACCTGATAAATAATGAACAGTTGTAGTTTTCGTTTAGCCATCTATATGTATACATCCGTAAATAAAACATCAACAGAGTTAATAAGCTAACCCATCATTTAAATCTAACGCTGTTAAGTAGTTGTGAAGGCTTTCTCCTACAATGAGAAGTGGACTGAGATACTTAGATTAAAGTCTGAAAATACCGCCAGCCCTTTACTGGGTTGTGACCAATGGTCTCAAACTATTCGTTTTCTAAATGTCTCAAAACATTTACAAAGCTTCTTGATTTCCTTGTGTGAGTCTCCAGGCCTCCCTCTTGTGTCGATGGAGTTTTGATCATGTGACCGTTTCCCTCAGAATAGTCAGAGCAATTGTTGAAACCTATTTTGGAGCATTCCCAGTTTAGATATTTAGTCAGAAGTAGGGATTTGTATTGGTGAAATTCTGGCGATATGACACGTATCACGATACAGGAGAGACGATACGATATATCACGATATATTGCGATACACTCAGCCAGATGGTATTAGCACTTTTTTAGACTGAATTCATTGTAGGAAAATTCCAAACTGATGCGTAACATGTTTAACGTGAGGTATTCGAACCACATTAAAGGGATTCACATTTCAATGGTGGAAACCAAACACACTGCACACTACTCCCAACTAGCGTTCAGCGTTTGAATGACACAAAAAATAAAAAATGATAATACACAAATGTTTGTGTGTAAATTCTTCCAAAAATTTGATACATGGCTTTTGAATATCGATGTTATATCGCAAGGAAAAAATATCCCAGTATAGTGCCACATCGATATTTTCTTACATCCCTAGTCAGAAGTAAAGAGAAATGTGAGTCCTCTTTGGTAGGGAAGGTGGACCAAATTGCACATAAACTGAGGGGAGATTGGAAAAAACAAACACAAATGAAATAATTTGTGACTGAACAGTGACAACATTTTGAACGGCAACCAAATGGTCGCTCCAGCATACCAAATCAGCTTGATTTCAAATGAAATTTTGCATATTTTTCTCACTAATTTTGTTTCTTCGGCTACAGTCGCAACCTAGTGAGATACCAGTTTTACACCAACCAATGCTGATGTCTGGATGTCCTTATTCCACCATGAGCAAAAAGAAAAATTTATTATGAAAAGACTTAAACAAACACCTCTCTTACTTTCCACCATCTGCAGGCAAAATGTTGTTTACAAGTAGAGTCCCGTTGGGGAAGACGAACAGCCTACGTCCCAGAACCTGTGATGGTTTCACGCTGATGCCTGCTGGGATCATCCATTTCAAAGCAGGCACTGGTTCACCCTTTGCAGAGCAGTGAGCATACACACTCCTGCCTGGTCAGAGGAAATTCATGCCATTTAGAATGGTGAAACATTTTAGTTCCAGTCGTAAACAGTTATCATGCGTCTCACCTTGTTGAACTGTCATGGCTTCCTGTGCTTCTTCACCTATGCTTGGGGGCAAAGCTGCCACATGGAGGTGATAAGTGATCGTATCAGCACCGGCTGCATTACTCGCGATGCATTTATAGTCTCCTTTGCTGGAGAAATTAGCAGGGTGGATTTTCAGAGTTCCATTCTGAAGTAGAGACATTTGAGAGATAGGAGTTTGCATGGTTCCAGCCTCCCGAACAAACGTTCTGTCTGGGAGAATCCAGGAAATCTGGGCCGGTGGTCTTCCAGAAGCAAGGCAGTGGAATGAAACATTTTTCCCCAAGTAGGTTGCTATCTCTGTGGACTGTGGTGGTTGAATTCTTGGAGCTTCAGTCTGGACAGCTAAGGTAATGACCATTCTGTCTGATCCAAACCTGTTGTGGGCCGTGCAGAGGTACTGTCCTCGATCCTGAAGCTGGATGTTTTTAATCATGAAAGTTCCGTTTTTTAAGACTTCAAAGCGCGGGCCGTGCTTGGTGTTGGCTAGAATGGTGGCTCCTGATCAGAGAACAGAGGATAGAAATTATGAGACTCGTTTTCCAGATTATGTTAGTATAATTATTCCTTCATTCTTCCTGTTTTTGCTTTTTACCTGTAGAGACCTTAGTCCAAGCAACATTGGGTTCAGGATTCCCGGTTGCTTTGCAGGGCAGGAACACGTCATCCTCTGCCAGCACTGAAACACTAGCTGAGTTCACCGTGGTGATTCGAGGTTTCACCCCCCCAACTCCCAACAGCCACGGGAAAGGAGGTGCAGCTGTAGGGTGCTGGGATCTAAGCCGTCCTACAAAATACTGGTGCGTAAGTAGGTATAATTAATTATAATCTATAGTATTCTTAAAATAACAGAAGTAGTCATACCTCCAACGGGCCACCTGGCTCCAGCCAGAGAGGTGGTGGGGTAGTAAGGGAGGGGCGTTGGGGTGAAACCACGGAGTGGGGGTGGTGAAGGGTTAGCAGCGTTTGAGTGCTCTGAGTGGTAAGACCCAGTGGGAGCTGGCGGTCTAAGGAAGTGAGGTCTGTATGAGGGTGGAGGACTGGGTCTACGTTTGATCGGGGCCAAAGCATCGTAGTAGCTACTGCGAGGTTTGGGTGTCGCTATCCTTCCTAGCTGAGCAATGCGTTCAAGCTGGGCCTAGAAAAATCCACAGTTAAGCATAAAAAAACATTCAACAATATAAAGGTAATACTTCTCAGATTTGTAATAATCTGTAACTAAATGTAGTCGATCTTTGACGAATATTTACCTTGACAAGGTAAATCTAAATACTCCACAATAGAGCTATGAGGTTTTTTTAAATTTAGGTTGTTCTGTAATCTAAGTGGTGAAATGCTATTGTTGACTAGATCGTTGTCAACTAAACACATTTATTCATATTTATTGCATACTTTAACCCTGTGGTGGTGCTCACTCCTCGCCCCTGCCACCTGGACCTCAAGGGATAAACCATCAATCCTGCTCAATGGTCAACTTTCCTCGCAGGGTCGCCCATTAGGACAGTGGGAGGGTTAAACAATTTAGTGCTAATCATATTTGTAATGAGTTTATCATAACGGATATCAGAGAGCCGGAGGGATGCGGCCAGGTCACTCAGACTGTTTGACTCGGACGAGCTGCAAGCCGGTTAGCCGATGAGGTGAAAGCACAGCTGAACACATTCAAGACTCAGACGAGATAAAGTCGGCATGGACGTTGATGGCAAAGCCGAGGTGGAAGGATGGTGAACATCTTCAAAACGAAAGTCGGTACCGTTGATTTTCTTTTATTGAGCACATGTTTTATCTGTGTGCTGGTAGATTAGTTCAAAGAGCATCTAGAGCTGTAGCTGCATCAGGCTCATCTACAGAAAAATAAAACTATGTGCTGCTAGTTTTATCACCACATGTACATACTGATGCAACTCCAGAAAACTTTGTGATAGCGTATCAGAATAACTACGCTTCCTGACACCCTCTGTTGGAATGGCCAACAGGTGGCGCACTCGCGGACTCACGCTCTCACAGAGCCGACGACAGAGGAGACCACCGAGCAGAGCAGGTGGCGAAGCTCATGAGACGGCAGAGCGGAGGAGAGTTTTTTTACTTAGCTAGTTGCAGTGTTGGGCAAGTTACTTCAAAACTAATGCATTATTTATTACTTGTTACCCTCATTTTAAAGTAATTCATTACTTAACAATAATACTGATTTAAAATGTAAGGAATTACACTACTTTTGCATTACTTTAAGTTACTTTCACAAAAACAACTTCAATATGAATTTGGTAATCTGATGCTCAGTGAACTCATGACACATCTCGTGGAAGGTGATGTGGTGTCTGAGCTAGGATTGCTGTTAAAAACAGTCCGGTATAATAACAGTTCTGTAAAATGTTTGTTTATTAAATAAAAGCAACAACAATCTGTACTCTCAGCACGCTGCCATCTTATATCAACTGAGCAGGAAGTGAGGTGGTGGGGGCTCCAAGCCTATTTTGCCTTGGTCCCCAAATGCCTTGATACGGCCCTGGTTGTGGGACTGACTTTTAAGGGTGATCTGATTCTATCACATGTATAAATATTAAATGCTTATATATTATTGCTTTTCACTGGTAAACATGTGTATTGGGGATAAATCTACCTACTATATTTTAGTTTTATTGATTATTTCCTGCAAAATATTTTGTATGTATGAAGATCTTGAATTTGGTCATTTCCAGTCAGCATTTAGTTGCAATGCCCAGGTTGGAACACAGAAGTCCCAGTGATCTAATCTGCTCACCTCAGATGGACTCACATGGACTTCAGCTGGCTAAATAAACACAGAAAGTAGAAAAAAAAGATTGGTTCTGACATTTTAAATAGTTTACCAATAAAGGGTTAAAAACACAATACTGGCTAGAAGTGTAGCTTAACAAAAGATTTAAAAAATACTGCTGACATGGGCAATCAAACCAGAAACAGGACATGGTGCAACAGAGTGACAGGCAGATGCTCTGTCCACTAACCCACAAGACCTAATGCATAAGGATAATTGACTAAGATGCAGGTCTAGTGCTGGTCATTATGTGTGTCCTTGCGGACAGGACGCACATTTTTTATTTTGTCCCAAATGCCCCAGCCCCGGTCAGACACCAGGCATCACTGGGTTTAACAGCTCTTTTTGTGTATTAGCTTACAGAACGGTTAATGAGATCTGGATCCATGTTTGCTAAGACCTCTGCAGTACCAGGCCTTGTAATATTGGGTGTTTTTGTGCAATATTTTTATCTTGTACATTTACAATGTCAAAAAGTTGATGAATCCATATTGAAAGCCCAGGTACCAGATGCATTATCATTTTTCTGCCTCTATATCTGGAAGGGCAATGCCCCAGTGCCCCCTATGGATGAGCTGCCACTTTGAACCCACATTTCGATACAATTATTTACTCTGAACCAACTGGCAGCCATCAGATCTCTGTGTGTAGTCGAGTCTACACATTTTGATCTGAAAACTCTGCAACGGAAACCGTCTGAAAGAGGGAGGACCATCTGGTAGAATATTTTGAGCTGATTGGAGGTAATGCCCGGCTGGCACTGGCTACCATATTTTGTCTTTAGCCAATCACAGCAACTCAAATGACATATACCTTGTGCTCCTGGAAAACAACAACAACTCGCTCAATCTTCATTCATTCACCCACATGACAATTACCATGTCTCCAGGTGATTTCTGCCAGTTTTGTAAGACGATTGTACGCATAAAGGGTGTTTTAAGTTCCTCAACAACTGATGCAACAGCCGCTTCTACGCGAGCATCAACCGGCGCGGCCATGTTTGTTTTGCTTAGCTGGGCGCTTGATACTATTGTCAAACTAGCTCCCACTCTACAGCACAGGGCTGACACATGACTGGATCGGCCTATTTTGGGCTGGAGGTCGGACGGTTTCAACTGGAGCGGTACAAGATGGATTCTCCTGAGTTTGGAAAACTCCAAATCTCGCGAGAATTCATTGCAGCGCAAGGTTAACTCTGAACAACCTTTAGGATATAAATGGGTGATCACAGAGAATTAAACAACAGAGATCATGCTATTAATCTTGCACACCCACTGTCCTCCATATACCTGTCTGTATCTGTTTCTGAGCCTCGACAGAAACAGATGATCTCTTGTTTGAGTTCTGATGTCAACACGATGGTTCTGATGAGGATGATGATGATGATGGGATGTGGAAGGTATGACTTTGAAGTTTTCTGGACCAGAGACAGTGGGGTTGGGCTTTACTGTGTCAGCTGTTATCTCTGGTCCATTGGTCACTAATGAGGTGTGAACCCAGAGGTGGGGGAATGGCCAGGGCCGATGGGTGGATGCAGGGTATGAGTCCGGACCTATAAAACACGAAGTTCTATAACCAGCTCTTAGATGACACATCCAAACATAATACAAGTCATAGTTGCTCTCTTTTGTTAGAATGTGAAATATTTCATGAAAGCATTTGAATTGAAGGTTGTTGCACAGAAGATATATTTACCTTGCCTCGGTTGGGAAATTGACTTCTGACCGGTCCAGGAAGGGAAGATGGGATGGTGATAAAGATGTTGGCGTGCAGACCAGTGGGAGGTTGGAGGCACTCTGGGAAGCTGGGAATGCCTGTCTGGATTGACCTCACCCTCTTGTCCTGCATTTCGATCTTGGTTTGTTTGCGTAATCCTGGAACTGGTAGTTTGTTCGCTTCTATCGTAGATGGGATGAAGCCAAGGGTGTAGTGGCTCCACTAAGGGAAAACTGTGAATTTCAGGCTTTCTTGTTGGTTTTGGTGCCCCTTTATTCTCTTTTTGTCTGACCTCTTCCATTGTTCTGTTAGTTGATACATTCTTGGTGGATAAAGTTCTTGAATGGATTGGTATAACTTGATTGGGTGAATGTTCGATGTTGTGTACTGGTACTTGAGTTTTGTATTGTGTGTTGTAGCTCTTTGTAACTAATTCTACTTTTGGTTTTACCTTGTCCACTGTGAGTTTTCCTTGCTTGCTCTTTGTAGACACTTGCTTCCTGGAATTCTCTCCAACAGGTTTTCTACCATTGCTGCCATTTTCAGCAGTTTCTTCTCTTACCTCCTTCGTCTTTGTCTCATATTTATTTACATTTAGAAGGTCCTCAGCTCTTATGAGATTTGGACTTTGCATTTTTGGTGTGTAAGTTGTCTTTGGATTGGGTAAATGTTGCTCGCCAATGAAGGGGTCTCTTTCTGTAACCATTGGAAATGGAGTGATGGTACTGCCAAGATTGGTGTTACGAGGTGGTCCGCTTATTAAATCGCCCGTAGAATCTAAACCTATTCCCTTCTTGTAATCGTAATCCTCAAATTTGTCATGTTCATTTTCCATCTCATACTTGGCCAAATTGGATGCTGTGGTTAGAACAGGGATTGTTGTTGTAGTTGTTGTGGTGGTAGTTGTAGTTGTTGGTGTGGTGATTTGTTGAAAGGGATTTATAGGTGGATGAGCTTTTCTCATTGGAGGTTTTCTATGTCTGTAAAAGGGCCTTCTCCTGTTAAACATACCAGGAACAAAGCCGGAGTTTCTCCTCCCATCACCAACATGTTTATTTTCATCCACAGGCTGATTGACTCCTACATTGGGGGGGACTGTGACAACTTTTACTCTTTCCGAAACATGCTGTTGGGTTACGGCTGTAGATCCAGGGAATGCAGGTTGATGGTCTTTTAGCCGTCCAGAAACTCCATGTTGACTTCCTTTTCTCCCGTTGTTTGGAGGAGCTTTAGCCCAAACTTTTTGGTGCAATGGAAACTTTGTTATGTGAGAATGACGAGGGGTCGTAAAATGACGTAAATAACTGACAGTTGTTGGATTAGCGGTTGGAGTTGTTGATGTACTTCTTTGGACGGTAACAGTGCTAGGCTCTTCTAGAGACGGCTCCGTGGGGAGCGACACACTTGGCTTAGCGTTAGCTTTAGCCAACATCTCTGCCCAACGGTTAGGATCTAATTCCTTCACAGATTTATGAGGTTTTCTCTTTGAATCTTTTATGCGCACCCTTTTCAAAAACTCACTGGCTTTCCTTTGTGGTGGCCCTACCTTCTCCGGAAACTGTGTGGCAAAAGGACCCATAGTTTCCTGATAATCCCCCCCTGAACCCTCTCCCTCTTTGACATCCAGGTGTAAGATTGTTTGCTCTCTTTCAGCCTTTACTTTAGACTTTTCTGATGACTTTTCTTCTGAGACTTCTACAATGTGAGACAGCATGTCAACTCCATACAGATTTGAGACCAAGCAACTATATTCACCTGCATCCTCCTGGGTCATCCTCCTAACCACCAAAGTCCCATTTGCCATAACTTCTGCTTTTCTTGTTCGCTGTGTAGGGAGGAGAATCTCATTTTTAGGAAGGTACCACCAAGTCTGGCTGGGCTGAGCTGAAGTCACCTCACAAGAAAGAGAGAGCGAGTTCCCCTTATCTACCAGCAGTTTCTGGCCATTAATAGCTGTTGGACTCATTGAACACTCTTTGATAGTGAGTCTCAGTGGCATCAAGTCCACAGCAGCTCTTGTTCTGACAATACAGTAATAGAGACCAGAATCAGAGAGCGTAGCATTTAAAATCACAAGTTGACCTCTTTCAGAAATTTTTATTTTATCGGTTGGATCCTCTACAATTGACAAATCTGGAAGCATCCACTCCAATTTCACTTCTGATCCTGAAGTCATGACACTGCATTCCAAATGGACCTTTGAACCCTCAAGAGCTGCTTGAACTCGTCCCGTTGCTCCCCTACGAATCAATGCCCAGGAAGAAGCAGCGTCTTCATCCTGACCTCTGAGGCTGTTGATGTCCTTGGTAATTAAAGCTGTGAAATCCATTGCTAGTTTTTTTGTGGTTGTCTGCTGCCTGTTTAGCTTCAGAGTGATTCTGGGTTGAAGCAGCCACGAAGGTTCTGCATCCAAATGACCTTTTAATTCTGTAAAATACGGGGACGCTTCACTAACAACCTGCGTGTACTGATAGGTTGCTCTGCTTGTGTTTGACCTCAGTTGACCTCGCTCTAAAATCGCAGAGCTCTCATAGTAGTATGCAACCAGTTGCCAAAGATTTTGTAATGTTTCCCGGTCAATGTCGCACTCAAGGACAGTCATCAGTGATATGTTTACGGATATCTCAGCAGGCGAGAGTGGACTTGCGGCCCATGTCATGGGTGAACTATCACCAGGATGGCGTACGTCACAGTCCACGTGAGCACGGTTTCCATGACTGTCTGAGAGAACAATGGTCATTTGGCCCAAAGGTTTCTCCAAGTCTCTGGTGTAGGGAAGGTCAGGCTCTGCTTCAGATTCAGCCCATACCGGATTGTCCCATTGTTTGAGGGGAGAACGAAGAACCGGCCGTTCACAGGTAAGCTTGTCTGTAGTCAACCCTAGTAACTGCGTGCCATTCAGATGTTGGGGAAAGGAGCACTGAGGGCAAACATCAATGGTGCCACGTTCCCTTTTACATTTTACTACTCCTGAAAAAAAGGGGTGGAAAAAAAGATTAAATGGCATTTTGAGATTAAATAAAAATCACTAGCTATCAATGCAAGGAGAAGGAAAACATTAAGACTTTACAGAGGAACATACTAACACTAACAAATGAGGGAAAGTGCTAGCTTGAGACTGGCTATAAGCAATGCTGAAAAAAATTCTGTGAAACTTCATTCATCTTAAAAGATATAATTTCCTTGAGTGTCCTTATATGTAAGGCGCCTGGAGTGGGAGATGCACATGTGCTGACGGCCGATCACCGGACATAGCAGCGTTTGAAGCTGATGGCAGCTCGTTAACAAACATCCACAAACAATTAATACACATTTTCACCCAATTTATTTGCTGACAACGCAAAAAATAATCTGGTAAGTATAACTCACTCAATCTGGAGGTAAGTGAAGAGAATTTAGAAAGTTTACAAAACTATATTGACAAAGTTTTTGAGTTCTTTGTTATGGGTCCGAAGAAATCAGCAGCTGAGACGGAAACACCTGGAACCAAGAGGAGTCATCCTCGGGACTCACCTGAGGCCTCATCTCCCCGTAAGGACATGTTAGAATTATTAGATTCTATAGATAAACGGCTTCTGGGATTAGAGGGGCGATTCGACCTGCTTGAGGTTCTACATCAGGAGTTCCAGAACCTCCGGACATCGCTGGAGTTCAGCCAGGAGCAGGTACAGCAGCTCGCTGCTGAGAATGCATTTCTGCGGGAGTTCGTTTCTTCCCTGGAAGAGGGAGTGAAGTGGACCACCCAGGACAACAAGATTCTCAAAGAGATGGTTTTGGACCTTCAGGCCCGTAGCATGAGGGATAATTTGGTGTTCGCTGGCCTGCCGGAGCAGACGGGAGGGGCGGAGAATTGCGAGGAAACAGTCAAGAACTTTCTCCAGACCAAAATGAAGATACCTGAAGAAACGGTACAAAAGATCACCTATCATCAGGTGCATCGCCTTGGAGCTAGAAGAGTGGACAGCAGAAGACCTTGTCCCATCATGGCTAAATTTGAACAGTTTAAACAGAAGGATCTTGTTAAAAGCCACGGAAGCATGGACGTAATTTGGGGGGGAGGGGGGGGGTACATGTCCCCCCCACTTTTTCCAAAGTCAAGTTTTGACCCCTGCACTTTTTACCATTCAACAACAATATTACCGGTACACTATATTGAATTGACGCTGATTGAGCTCTAGGACCAAGCAGAAAACAACCGTTTTAGTTGAAGCCTGCTTCCCATTAGAACATACTGTAAAGATACCCCCCCCCATGTCCCCCCCACTTCTAAATTGAAAATTACGTCCATGCACGGAAGAGAACTCAAAGGAAAATACTACAGCGTAAATGACCAGTTTCCTAAGGAAATCTTGGATCGGCACAGAGTCCTCTTCCCGCTGCGCAAAAAGTTTATCCAGGATGGGAAGAGGGCTGTCATCTCGGTGGATAAGCTTTATGAGGACAGCAAATTTTATAAGGAGCGAGGAGTGACAGACTGGCTGTATTAGCCCAACATCAGGTCAGACATTTATTATTCTTATCAGGATTCACTGGGTTTGAGCACATCAGGATTAAATAGCTGCTAGATCCGTGTTCTAGATGATGAGATATCCTGTTCTTAACCACCTCACACTCCTATCACCTTTTCTTTTTAGTTTTTTTTTTCTTTTTCTTTAACCTTTATAATTCTTTCCTTTCCTCTTGTTATCTGCTTCTGGACCTTTACATCTGTATGGTACAACCATGCAACTTTCCAACACTGCGTCAGACTCAGCACACACGTGCGCGCACACACACACACACACACACACACACACACACACACACATTAAATCTACACCACAATATCACAATTTATGCGTCTCATAATACAACCACAAACACTGTTGGGTCTTTATTATTGTTATTCTTATTTATTTTTCTGTTATCTATTAACAAATTATTTTATACATTTGGGTACTTATTCCATCTTATTCACATGAAGGCATATTCTAGCTACTCACAGACACATCTATGGGTGCACTAAAGTTTGTCTCATGGGACGTACATGGAGCTGGCTCCAGAGAGAAAAGATTAAAGATTTTTGATCAGCTAAGAAGAGTGCATCAGACATAATATTATTACAAGAGACTCATAGCTCTGCCACATGTTCTCTGCCTGCTATAACTCTAGGCAAAGAGGTGTATCTATTTTATTACACAAAAACATCAATTTCACAGTACTGGACACGGTTTCAGATCCAGAGGGTAGATTTATAATGTTAAAAATATCTGTAATGAACCAAAGCTTATGTATTGTTTATGTTTATGTTCATTTATTTGGCAGACGCTTTTATCCAAAGCGACTTACAATTTATAACCGATAGGGCATGTTGTGATATTGTCAGCATATACTGTCCAAATACTGACGACCCTTCATTCTTTCATAATTTTTTCTCTGTACTCTCCGAACACTTGGACTGTCCACTTATACTTGGAGGCGATTTTAATTTTTGGATGGACACTTTAACAGACAGGCTCAGTACAGCTGGGATTCAGCACAATTGGCAATCCACTAACATAGTTACACAGTACATGCGTGATTATGGGCTTTGTGATGTATGGCGATCTCTTCGTCCTAACCGTAAAGAGTATACTTTTTTCTCTCATGTCCATCACTCTCATTCACGTTTGGATTATTTTCTAGTCAGCAGCTCATTGTTGGCTGACATTTCAGAAACTGAGATACACTCTATAGTTGTTATTATTAAGGGTAAACAGTCATCCACGAACTCGCGTAGATTACTTAATTTGATAGATTTCTCTTACAGTAGAAACATAGAAACTAGTATATTATCTCTAGATGCAGAAAAGGCTTTTGATAGAGTTAACTGGAAGTTCTTATTTGCAACTTTACATAAATTTGGTTTTGGGAACTTCTTGATAAACTGGCTACAAACATTATACAGTTCACCAACAGCATGTGTCAGGACAAACGACCAAATATCAGCTAGCTTCTGTCTTCAGAGGGGGACCAGGCAGGGAAAAATACTGGAAAAACAAAGGGATCCTATACCTGGAACACATATATGAAGGATTAGACTTCATCCCATTTAATCAAATAGTCTCCCAATTTGGAATGGATAAGAATAGCTTTTTAGAATATCACCAAATTAAATCTGTAGTCAAACAAAAATTTAAGCTCAATAAAATAGAATTACAAACACCACCAAGGGTTTTAGACTTCTATAATCTCAAACCCCCCAAACTTGTTATGACTCCCATCCTTCACCCTCCTCTGCCTCCTCATTTCACCTTCATTCAGCCCACCTGGTCCCTTCACCAAGCTCCTGACAAGCCCTGTTTCCCTGGCAACCACATCAACTCCATTCTTCTCACCTGTTCCTGTCATCAGCTTCATCCACTTCACCTGGTCCTGACTCCTCAGCTCATCTCACACACCTGCTTCCCCTGCTATAAAAGAACCATCCTGCTATCCAGTCTCTGCGAGATTATTGAAGCACTCCAACCTCTGCCTGTACCATACTAGATCCTGACCTCGTTTCTGTTCCTTGACCAACCCAAATGCCTGCTCCCTGCCTGGATTGTTTTCTCTGCCTCTGACTACCTGGATTCTCGACCTCAGCTCATTCTCTGGATTCTGCCTCCTGCCTGCTCATTGTAGCATTCACGGATCTATCTGGTTTTGACTCACGCCTGCCCTCCGACTCTGTCTCCTGCCTCGCCCTCCTCTGGTAACTCCACAAAAAATAAAAGATTTTTTAAATATACTTTTACTGTGTTTGGCGTCATTACGGGTCTTCTGAGTTCTGTTCATGACAAAACTACTGTCTAAAGTTTATAAGACACTGTCCAAAATAGACAATAGAATAGCAATCCCTATAGAAAATTGGAGGTGGATCTATCAGTCAGCTTTGACCAGAACTTCTGGTCCCAAACTTGTTTAAAAACTTTTAAAATGATCAGACACTCCAATTTACAACTAATTCGGTACAAAATTCTACACAGAGTACACTATACAGGTCATCGGATGTTCAGGATGGGGTTTGCACTGCACAACAACATTCCTGACAATTACATCAATGCACTGTGGTCCTGTCCACCTGTCCAGGAATTTTGGGGTAGAGTATGTGAAGACCTGTCAAAGTGTCTGAAATGTCATATCCCAACTTCCCCTTCTCTTTGTTTACTGGGAAACCTGGATGATGTCCCGATTGAAACATCTTTGGTTCACGTAGTTTGCATCGCTAAGAAAACTATCCTCTTGAATTGGAAAAATAGAGAAACTCTCTGCATTAACCAGTATAGAAATCTTTTGTTAGATCATATTACACTTGATTTAGCCTCTGCTTCCACTTCAAATCAATCTCTCTGGGCTCCTTTGATCGGTTCCATCACATAGCGATGATGGGGGACCATTGATATTGTCCTGCAGGAAGATGTGGGTGGGGGGTGGGGGGGTGGAGGGTCTGAGTTTGGAGTATCTGGATGTTCCCTGGAGATGGGTTCACTGGGGAGGTCTGGAACTGGGGGGCAGTTGCCTCGGGGGGTGGACTACTGGCAGTTGTGAGTGGGGCCCCTTGGAGGTCTTGGCGGAGGCCATGGGTCACTTCCTGGCAGCTGCATTGCCCCTGGGTGGGTCTGGGGGCTTGGGGTGTGGGGGTGGCCGGCCCCGTGTGGGGATCTGACCGGGGCCTTGGGGGTCGGGTCCTGACATGTATGCTGCCGGGAAGAAGGCAGGAACATGCTGCAGTGCCTGGCCCGGGCTCAGGGGCCTCGGGTAGACTTTGGCTCCTCTGCTGTTACATCACAGGGGAGGGGGATGTCCAGGAGGGGGAGGACCCAACCTTACCTGGATGTCCCATGTCTTTTATATTATGGAAGTTGTGCAAATGCAGGGATGGGAGTAAATATTCTGCTCGGGTGGGGCTGGGTTGGTGCCCTCAGACTCTGTGAGGCTCTGTGATGCTGCTGCTTTGGGCCCTGGCATGC